TATCTGACACAAACTTTATTTACAAATTTATGGTAGGAACTTTAGGAAAATTGTTATTTGGACTTGTACATAACTTTTTAACTATGTACTTTTCTTCATTTAAATGTGCTTTTTCTTTTTCAATTTCTATTCCACACACATAATAAAGTAATTCCACACACATAACAGAGTAAGTAAATTAATGTAGGATAACAATAAAAGCATACATAGATTTCAGCTGGGTCAAATTTTAAATACTTCAAAATAAAGATAAAAGAAACATGGCAGAAACCATCCCAGTGATTTTTTGTTTGTCTGTTCTTTCTTTCACCATTACATACATTCATTGTCTTTTTTTTTTTTTTCCCCATGGAAATTAACTTTAGACAAAGTTTTGCCATTGTCCTTTAACTAAGCTGTGGTTCTGAATAAAAGAGGGATGGAAAACAGTTTGTGATTTAAAAGAGGGTAAAAAATCTGAAAATCAGCTACCTCAAAGTTATAAGCTTAGTTTTCTAAGCCAGCAGTACATGGATGTATTCTCATGATTTTATCTATGATCTGGAATAAGAGAAGCAAGGCAAACAAGGGTAGAAAACAAACAAACAAACAACAACAAAAAACAGAATCAAAATCAATGGGAATTTTTAAAAATTTCTTGTTGGTTGATGAAAAATTCAACATGAGCCAGCAATGTGCGCATGCAGCCCAGCCATAACTGAGTTATGGGGTGCATCAAAAGAAGCATCACCAGCAGGTCGAGGGAGGTGATCCTGCTCCTCTACTCTGCTCTCGTGCTCTCGTGAGATTCCAACTGGAGTGTGCAGTTCTGGGGGACCCCAAGACAAGAGGGACATGAAGTTGTTGTAGTAGGTCCAGAGAAGGCCAATGAAAATGATCATTGGGTTGGAGCACCTCCCCTAGGAGGAGAGAGCTAGAGCTCTTTATCCTGGAGAAGAGAAGGCTCCAGGGGGAACATACAGCAGCCTTTCAGTACCTGAAGAGGGCCTACATGAAAGGATATGTAGTGACAGGACAAGGGGAAACAGTTTTAAACTGGAGGAGTGTAGATCTAGACTAGATATTAAGAAGAAATTCTTAACTGTGAGAGTGGTGAGATACTGGAACAGGTTGGCCAATGAAGTTGTGGGTGCCCCCACCCTGGAATCAGTCAAGGCCAGGCTGGATGGGGCTTCGAACAACCTGGTCTAAGGGGAAGTGTACCTGCCTGTAGCACGGTGGTTGGAACTAGATGATCATAAAGGTCCTTTCCAACCCAAACAATTCTATGATTCTTTCTTTTTCCTGAAGACTTCCTATACAAAAAAAAAAAAAAAAAAAAACAAAACAAAAAACAACAACAACAACAACAAAAAAACAACAAAAAATGAAAACAGCTAAGCATTTTACTGTACTGGGTTTTCTTCCATTCAATTTTTACTATCTTGTCTTCTATATGTCTTGATGTTATCTCCAGCAAGAGAAATACTGATAAAACTTCCACAAGGCTAGTAGAATTAACTGTAATAAATTTTTGTTTGGGATGCCAGTTTGCAGAGGCAGTCCTTTCTTTTCCAGAATCCACGGCCTTGGTATTAATGTCAATAAATATTTTAATTTTTTAAGAAGTACTTACACCAAATAAAGACCTCTCCAAAATAATCACTGGAGAAATCTGGACACCACATACGGACATGCATGTGTCACCAAATGATAATGGAATTAGCTCCTGGAGTAAGAGTTTCTGACTATAGGAGTCACTGAAAGCAAAGATCCTTCAGAAAGAATATTTGAAAAGTCATGGCTGTCAGGGGAAGCTCACAGTGACTGGCAAAAGATAAACATTACTCCCACTTTTAAGAAAGGTAGAAAGCAAGATGAGGGAAACAACAGGCTGGTGAGACTTACATCTCTGCCTAAGAAGATGGTGGAATATATCCTCATGGAAGCTGTGTTAAGGCACATGAAAAGTGAAGAGATGATCCGTGACAGCCAGCATGTCCCATAGAAATTCACTTATATAATGAGTGTTATGTATTTAAAATGCACATCATTCTTGAAGTATCTAATTGCAAATGTATTTATTCCAGATAAAGTTTAAACGCAAAAGTAATCAAGTTCTTTTTATCTTCTTCCAGTCAGCTAGTTTTGAGCAGAAATGAAAACAAAGCTGTAAATCAAAAATCAGGCAATAAGGTATTGAAAACTTATCCTTCTAAAAATGTGCAGAACATGCTTCTATTAGTCATTATTTTTTTCTTAAGAGGAAATGCAGTAGAATTCTTATATTCAAAGCATCACAAAGTGTAAAAACATGTTGGATTCTCCATCACAGCAATATTTATATGGGGAGTAGTAATATTGAAGTTATATCCCATATTTATATCTATGTTAGTTTATATTTATATCTACATGTAGGTATTCTTAGACATCACTACATCTACATCACTACATCTAGAAATTACTTTCCTCAACATGGAACTCAGAGCCCAATATATTTATTATCCCACAGAAAGAGAAGCAAGGAAATCCTTATTTGTTTGCATATAATGAAATGCTTCGCAAAAAAAGTGGCTTACTTGCCCATCTTCAAATACATTTCCATTCTTCCTACATGCACTTCTCACATACAATGTATCATGAATACTTTTTAGAGCACTATGTATATTGATTTGTTCATCACATTTTTTTCCCAGGCAAGTCCCAAGAAAATAAGAGGAAAATCCTCTCTCTTTAGCCTATGGATTGACATTATGAAACTGCAAACCCAAAAGTATCCTGAAGTTAATCAGAAGTAGCTACCCAGAAGGCTTGAAAAGTGTGTTATTAGTACACTGTATTTTAGCTCATTTGTACATACATTAGTATATACATTTATTTTATATATATACTCAACTATCAAAACATACCCTTAAAAAATTTCATCTTGTATCTGAAAGAAGTCTCTCTATCTGGAGCTTTCTGACATTATTGTTTGGATTTAATATTCTTAAACTTTTTCTCAGAAAAAGCCAGCTACATGTAGTAATTTAACAAACAGCTAAAACAGACGATAAACCAAAATGAAAATAAGTGTGAAAAAAAACCACACATTTTCTGCTCATTTCTGTGTTATAGGATGACAATTGTATTCCTGGTAGAACAGTCAAGATAAATAGAAAGAAGATAAACTATGTACAATTCTGAATTGTAAACAATATAGTTTTCTGACCCTCCTTTGAACATTTTTGATAGGCATCTATCTATCTAAAAAATCAAATTATAAACTTCCAGTATTTGACTGATAACCCACTTGCTTTGGGTGTCACAGCATGACAAAATTCCCTGCTTCTCTCAGCAGTCTATTAGATCTGTGTACAGCGCAACACTTATTTTTCTTAAATTATATTGTAAATTCTATCTGACCTTTCACATAGTATAGTTTAAGTAGGAAAGAAATGCATGCTCGTGAAAAAAAATTATGTATTTCCTGATATATATTCAGGTCCCAAGCTGACAAAGAGAAACTACGCAACGAAATTTCACTCACAACCATGAAAGAGGAGGCAGGATCACTCTCCAGAAGAATTTTTTCTTTTTTCTTTTCTAATAGTTTGCTTGGCAAATAGATATTTCAATTCAATTCATTTTCAAAATATATGAGTACAGTCTCCACTAGTTTTGTATAAATATTCAAACATTAAGGGAGAAGAATGCAGCGAAAGAACTGAAAAAACTGCGGTGCTACTGCAATCTTACCAATAGGCATATGGATGTAAATTAAATAAGATTCTGAAGACAATTTGGACAAGTGTTAAACTTTAAACACAAAATTAATTATCACTTAAGAAACAGAGCACAGTCCATAGCATTGTCCAAGGTAAAACATCCGAGTTCCAGAAGGAAGAAAGAGAACAGAGGAAAAGAGGAAAAAGGAATCACATCAGTAATACTATGAAATATATATCACCACCGTTTTGTAGTAGTACCATAGCCCATTCCCAAATATAGATATTTATCAAATTTTTGAGAATGTTTTGTTTACAAAACACTACTAAAAAGAGGCTCTGTTAAAGCTTTCCTCAACATACACAATTTGTGGGCAAAAATAAACATCAACAGTCAAATATCTGGAAGGTTAGCTATAGTGTTGGTGACAAGACAGTTATCAAAGGGACAAGAGAGACTAAGTTTTGAAATGTGATTCATTACAGATAATAGAGTCTGGTAAATCCATCAGTAGGAACAGGCAGGAAAAAAAATGGCTTTATCTTCAGGAAAACCAGTTCTTTAAAGATTTTTACCAATTTCTTCATTAGAAAAAAAAATCCTATTTCTATATTTACGCAAAGGTACATAGGAGTAAAGAATGTTTTGAATCACCCTCAGTTTTAATTTCCATCTGTATTTATTTAATACGTATTAAGCATTGAAAGATTTTTAAACAAAGATAGATCACTTGTTTTGGTAAATTGAGTTCCATGAAAGAAATTACTACTTCTTCACAAATGAAAAATTAAACAGATCTAACCAGTTCTTATGAAGACTTGTGGTTTTCTGCTTTTTTATTGGTGGAGGTTTTGTTTTTGTTCGTTTGTTTTCTAATTGTTGTTGTATACATTGTTTTTCTTACTCCACTAAATATCAAATTATACCACAAGCAAAACGTAAAGACAGCTACAAATTTAATCATTCTTTGGCAAAAAATAACTGTTTTAGATAAGTCTTTTTTTAATGTCTCGTTCAGTGAAGACTGAGCCTATTAGTAATGCATCCTGTCATGATATAAATTCAAATCATAAAATCGTAAAACATCCATATAGGTGACTCACAAGGATCACTGAGTTCAATTCCAGGCTCCTCCCAGGACTACCCAAAAATCAAATCCTATGTATGTGTATGGGAACTGCTGATCACAGCCTGAACCTCTGATTAATCACCTGAAGCGAGCAAGGAGTCAGCCCTGGGAGCACAGGTGAAGCCTGACTCCATGCTCCTAGACCCATTTAAGGGCTGACTGCCAGGAGGAAGGATCTCTTTTGGAGATCCACTCCACCAGAGTTTTCTACAGGAGCCCAGGATACGGGTGAGTGTTATCTATCATTTCTGTTTCCTACTTTGGTATAACAACTGCATAGCCAAGCTCTGTGCTATACCGTAACATCTGTATATTCATTAATTGTACAGTATAAAAGCATTGGCCAAACTTTTCTTGAACTCCAGCAGGACTGGTGCCCCGGGGAGCTTTTTCCAGTGCCTGATCACCTTCTTGGTGAAAACCTTTCCCTAGTTCTCAGCGTGACCTTTCCCTGATGCGTTGTCATGCTGTATATTACAGCAGGTTGCATCTGATTTTAAGATAAAAAAATTCTGCAAGTACTGTATTTCCATCCCTTGCAAACCTTTGAAAGAAGAAAAGCTTTTTATTTTTATTTTTTTAAGAAGAGGATTTCATTTCATGTTCATTCATAAAGGACTGCTAACTGCTTAACTTTTCTCAGCTTTTCTTGTTTACCATACTATTGGTGAAGCAAGTACAGGCATGGCCATGAAAACACTGGGAAGAAAGCATACTGCTCTTAATTTTCTAAGGAATTGTGTGGCATTTTCTTAGTCAACTGAGATTTTTGTATTCATTTAGATAAAAGTATTTTGTATTTCTTATTAACTGCTTCAGATAACTGGAAGTGAAAGTAAATAAATAGAATATGCCACCTTAAAATGACACCATTTGCACCTGAGAACACTACTTACAACTCTTATTCACAGGTTAAAAAAGAAACACAAGACAAACATCAATAAGAATTCCTTTCTTGAGTGATATCTCCCATCTTAAGCCAAAGATATAACATTTTACTTTTTTCCATTATTCGCCACTCTTCACCTGCCCAAATCAGGTGCTTTTCAGTACACAGTTTGAAATCTGTAATGGATTTATTACTGTAATAAGGCATTCTCTGTTGATGGTGATCTTTGTGGATGGAAGTGTGAGGATAAGTTCTATAACTGCACATGTATATAGTAAAAGAATGCAATAATAGTGCCTTCAAGTGGGATACAGGCACTACAAAGCAATAACAGGTAATCAAGATGAACAAAGGGAATATTCTTTCCCAACAATCAGTGACAGCTCAAAAGGATTACAACATCTATCCAGAGAGATTTTACTTCCTTAGCTGTTAACCCTTAAATGAAGGTGAGGAGGGGGGCATCCAAACTCCCCCCCCCCTTCTGCTCACTTAGATGTGTAACTTGCACCTCGATTAGCCACATCTCAACTGGTGCTCAACCACTGGTTCAGTTTGAGACCTGGCAATTCCACTGCACTATGAGAAAGCTATCTTCTGAAGAAAATGAGAAATAATTTTGCTGTATTCTCCTCACATTAGGACAGAGAAAATGGCACTCATCACTTAATATGTAATACATGAGATGCAAGTGCATTGCTACAGTTCATAAAATAGAATTATTTTCAAGCTTTTAGACCCTGGTAGTATCTCAGCATGTTGAATATTTAAAATGAAGGCACTTGCAGGCAGAATTCACTCTTAAGTAGTTCTAAACATATTTTTAACTACTGCTTTAACAAGTGCAGCAAAGAGAAGCTTGAGAAAGCAAGATTCAGGAATACACAACTATCCACTTTATGTTGAAAAGCTTTGAAAAGCAACAGATCAAAGAAAAAAAAAAAAAACAAACTGGTCTTGAAGAATGTATGTTCCCAGAGAGATTTGCTAATGGAAATATTTGGTAAGGGCAGATTTCTGTTCTACTCTGACAGATGCTATTAATTGTAGAACTGGCAGACAAAGCCACAGTGTTGATACTGTAAAAAGAATTTGAAAATTGACTGAAAGCATTTGGTGGAAAAATAACTCACAGCCTCCTTATTTATACCTAAGAGTGGAGTGAGATGAAAGTATCAAAAAGTAAAAATGACAGTGAAAAACTGTAAAACTTAAAAAATTACAAAACAAAGTATTCTTGACAGTACTAATCAAAACATGTTAACTGAAATGATAGTTGTTGAGTTGAAATGTTTTGTTTTACTTCACAGAAGTTATCAAATTGGCCCTATTGGGGAGGGTGGGGGGGGAAACAACATATATCTCTACATCATTTTGCAAAGAAATGTCTTAAGATCCACATCCCCAGATCTTTTTCATGTCAGACTACTAACTGGACTACTTTATATATAATACTTATTCATAATGAAGTCTCCATGGAGTTCAGACCATAGGAGAAAATGAAAGGCTGACTACTATGCCCAGAAGACATTGATGTAATAAGAGACTTAATCTGATACTTACTTTGCTGAATGAAACACTAAACAATTTAAGTGAATTCAGACAGCCACCCTTCTACTCCTTCTGGAAAACTTAATACTCACTAAAATAAAATAATTTTTTTTTTTTGTAGAAGTCACATTTTTTTTAATGTGGGAAATTCATGTTTGAATTTTTTCATTAAAAAATCGTTTTAATATTCCAAAAATTTTAATCATTGATTTTTTTTTTTTTTGAAGGAATTGTTCAACTTTTCTTGCTGTATTTTATTTCTATTTAAAACAACACATTATTAAATTGAAAAACATCCACATACAAATTAAAAACTCAACAGGTAAAAAAAAAAAAGGAAAAAATAGTCTAGCATTATAACCAATTAGATATTAAAAAAATCCTAGTCAACTCGTAATTCCTCTTCATTGATATAGTATCTCAATCTTCATTCAAAACTGTAGGAAAACAATGTCTCAATGTTGAAACTGATGATAGACAGATTCAAGTCAAGTGTCTTTTCCTAAATTCTTCAATTCTCACCTACAAGATCTTTTATCTGACTCCTCTTGTTTAGTTCTATTAGCATTAATATAAAATGGAATTAAGCTAACATTATTAAATAATAACATTAGTCCTCAAAAAGAACCTTACTCTTTATTCTTTTCTCTATGGGTTTTCTTTGAAAATACTTTATAATGGTGATCTGAATGATTATTCTTTATTTCACAAGGAGGAGTTCTAGGGTTACAAGTTAGAAAAAGATTAACTATGTAACTGTGGACAGCTTTAAAAAGACATCTCCTAGTTCAAAGTCTTAGAATTGTTGAAGTTAAATTTATTCTATCGGTGCTATTCTAATCTTAGGTGTCAAATGAGGATGTTTACAGGCTTTTTTTTCCTGTTCTAATGATTGCTCTTCCTAACATTTGATAAAGATCTCTACAGTGTCTACAGGTTGTATCACTTTAGTCATAAGTGACTACAAATGTTCATCTTCTTAATAGGAAATAGGATCCCTTCCCTAACACAAAATAAGATTGCTTATCTATCCTACTAAAATATATAAGCATAATTTAAGAACTGTAATTTTAAATCTCACGAGTGTTAATGAAAATAGATGGTTATAATAATTTTATATAATCATTATATATCTTATAGTTTCTTGTATTTTATATGTTAGGTATTATATAAAAATTTTATATCTTAAATTAAGCTATCCTAAGCTTAATTTGAATTTGAAAAGATGACATTCTTTTCCTTGGAGAAAAATATCACTATGGTTAAAAATTACAATGATAATAATTACATGAATCTGCAAAAAATTACATACAAAGTATGATGTAATACAATGAGAAAGCATAATGAAATAACTCTCTGAAATATATGGCCTCATGTTTAACATCTAAGAACTCTGAGAACTTAATATATCAGGATAATGGAGTTTAAATATTTATTATTTCGGAGGATATTTATCATAATTTCTATTAAAATATAGACTATAACAAAAATATTTAAAAATATTAGTCACAGAGGATGATTTTTTTTCTCCCATCTTTTCAAATCTTCATCCAACATACTAGGACTATGCTTGGTTTCAAATCACATTGCATGTTTTCTCTATCTCATGATTTTTTCCCTTGAACTCATGAGGTTAACGAGATGTTTATTGATGTTTTATGTTAATATGATTTTCTCTTATATTAAATGGGGAAATTCTGTATCCTACTGAGCAACTGAAATTGTTTATGCTTATACTCTGCAGGTCTTATCTTTGGATATAACGTTTTACGTTTTGCATTCACCAGAGAAAAATCCTTATTTGTATGACCAATATAGGTGAAGTCATGTGAATCCTTCTCACTGAAAAACAAAATGTGATTATTTAGAGCTTAATCTTGAATTATATCAATCTATCATAGCAGACTTCTGTCAAATACAGAATTAACTCTATAAGAGATGCACTACAAGGATATGCATTATACTAATCTGAACTGGGATCCCAAGTGGGAATAGAAGTATTCACAGGACTAAATAGGATCTTATCTTCAATGCTAAGCTGATTAACAGTTTTCTTTGCTGTGCAATTTCAGCTAAGAAGTTTCTCATTTTAAAGGATTGCTGTAGGAGTTCCTATTAGCCTGTATAAATTAAGTTCCCAGAAATTAGGTTTCCTCAAAGCTGCCAAAAGTTTTATCCTAGTTCCCATCTTCCCCCTTCCCTGGTTCTAATGACTTTTCATTGCCTGCAGAAACCATGGACATTTCCACAATCACAGAAATGTTTCTTAAGGTGAAAAAGGAGTTCTTCAAATAATGATTAAAATGTAATTTCTTAAGGCCTTGAATGGAGCAGTGATGCTGAAATCAGCATGAATTTCAAAGTTTTTAAAGGTGTAAAGAGAGGTAAAACCACATTTCTTATACATTATTGCTAAGTCGCATACATGTACAGTGATCTCATTATACCCACTGCAGCACAACCATCACAGATATAAAGTACAGCAAGGATAGATGTTTGTCTTAGGCAATTATTTATTCTAACTTTTGTACCTGAATAATACTTCCACTGACCTTGTTAGAATGAGGTAATCTATATGCTCCAAAGACTTCATCCAAAAATATGACTTTTCTTTTTTTTTCTTTTTTTTTTTTTTTTTTTCTAACAAAGTTACATGGTTACATGAAGAGGAGATGAGTATTTGCCAGCTCTCACATTGGAAAGTAAATCAGCCCAAGTCACTTAACAGGATAATTATATTACATTATTATGTTATACTGTAAGGATTCAATAGTGTGTGTTAAGATGTTTTTTCTCATATGTGATCTACCTAGGCTTTATATGTTTCTTGTTTCTTTTATGTTCCAGACACAACATATGATATAAGAGAACTGTAAAGTGAAAAGGAGATGAAGAAGTTTCCTCTGTGCAGACCTCTCATACAGGTCAATTCTGCAGGCTCAATACAATGACCAAAGGACAAAGAAAGCCAAGTGGTGGAGTTCTGACATACATCCTGCTGACACCATCTCTCACCCTTCTATGATTTGGCTTTGGTCTTGTCAACCTATACAAGCTATAGCTGCCACAAAGAACCATAGTTTCTTTCTAGATCGCCAGTGCCTGCTTTTGTAGTTAGTTCTCATCATTTGTTCTGATTTGAGGCACAGTAACACTAATCCATGGCTATAATCACATCTAACCAAAGGTGGGAAACATATCAAACGCAGATACTTCTAATTACCTTAACCTTCCATTATAAACATTTGAAATCATGTTTGTATAATTCTTACCCTAAAGATCACTATTTACTTTATTCCATAGAATTTAATTCTCAAGTGCTCACTTGATATCTCAATTTTTGCCTCTACAGTGAACGACAACTCCATACAGTTTGTTCTAATCCTTAGTGCAGTGGAACTCTGGATACATCATGCTCAATGACCTTGCTACGTTTTGCCTCCAGAAAAGTACATATTTTTTTAATTAAGTCTTCCTGACCTTCCTGAAGAAGTATGTATAATACAAAATCTCTAGATATTGTGAACAAAGTAATATACAGAGCAGCCCATTTTGCTCTGTTTGCAACTTTGCCTCACCTCTCACATGGAACTTAACATACTTTGTAAAATGTAACAAGTAAAATTTTGCAAATGGGTTAACTGGTGTAGAACACTCAATTATGAAGTGTTTGCATGAGGCAGTGACAGTCTCTCAAAGCTCTGGCCTCGCTTATATGAAATCTGTTTGATGCTCATTCACTGCTCCACGCTGAGGGACAGTTAGCATAATATAGAATAAGATGCTATGCAGGCAGGTGTCCTGCTTGCTGATGGGTAAAAGAAAGACTGTGTATCATAGAGGATGAATTAAGTGTCATCAGCATCTCAAGGAAGGCACATCAAGGCAGCTTTGCCAGAAGGAATGATAGTGTGAAGTTAAAAGGGTCAAGAAATAGAACACATCTTGGATAAAAGGAAAAAAATGGCAAAAAAAAAAAAATCACAATAATTATCTGTAACATTTTCAGACACGTATTTTCAACACATGCTTTTAAATTTTACTGCAAGACTGAGGAAAAAAAAAACACAAAACAAACAAAACATCTTTAATAGAAAGGTTTACAATGTTAGAGATATGATTGGGGATTGGACTTGATGATCTCTGGAGGTCCATTCTAATCCTTACAGTTCTGTGATAACTGTGGAGTCCCATGTATCTGCTATACTCAAGGAAGAGTAGTTTTGAAGTATTGGTAGAAAAATACTCAGTAATGTCATTGTAGGTATAGATAGTTAAAAATTAATACAAGTTCAATACTCAAAAATTTCTGAAATGCAATGATTTTCTGAAATTTAAAATATAAGTTTTGCTATGATTTTCAAGAGTAACAGCAAGATAAGATTGTGCTTCTTTAAAAAAAATCTATTTCATTTTATCTGGAAATATTGCTTTATGTTACATAGAAACAATCTTTCTTCTGAAGTATAAATAGACCTACCTGAAGTAAAACTTTAATAATTACATTGTAAAAAAAATTTTTTTTAAGAAGAAAATCAATAATATTTGGAGGAAAATTTTTCTTTTTTGAATTCATTTATTTACTTGGGAAGACAGGAGCTGAAAATATTTTCTTCCTCTTTTTTTTTATTAGAAAAAAAAATAGAATAAGATGTCTTCAACATGAAAGAAAAAGTCATCAATCTATTCAATGTTTCTGTGTAACTTCAGCAACTTTCTGCTTTGGTGTAATAACTGTGTAGCCAAGATCTCTGGTACGTCTCATAACTATAACATCTGTACATTCATTGACTGTACAAATGTGTGCATATATAGCTAATGTGCTCCATATTCCCTGTCAGAGTAACTGAGGATAAGTACAAGTGTTAGTTGATAATTTCTTTCAGGTACCTTGAACTTTTCTATACTGAAAGCCTACCAGCAGTAAGCGTAAAAGACCCAGCTAAGATACGTACAAAAAAAAACCAAAACGTTGTGACTCGTATCTTAAGGGCGAGATGAGAGATATTATTATGGAGGTCTCTCCAAAAGTAATGTCTCCAATTTATTTCCATGGAAACTACAACAATGAGCACACTATTTGATAGAGAAAATTCTTAGCTACTGAGTACTATTTTTTAATATAATCACTACCACTGGTTATACATCTTCAGTATACAGTACAAGAGTGTCTCATTAAGGAATATCACAGGCAAAGCACATCATTTATACAGAGCTTCCTCAATTGTTTGACTATTTAACTATTTATAATAACTTAAAATGGGATATTGTCAGTGGCAATGCTATCTTTTTAATTTCCAGTTGCTGTTCCAAAAAAATTAGAAATATATACCACATCTAGATTAAATACTGCAAGAAGTATAACTTTTTTTCCCACAATATGAACCACTTTAAAGAACCTTAATAGACAGTATCGCAGGTGTGTAGAGGCATGAAACTTGTAGTTGGGCTCGTACATATCTGAATGGTTTTTCAGTGCCCTCTTTTTTTTTTTTTTAACCACAGCAAATTTCCCGATTTTACAGTGGCTTCCAACAATGAAAAGTTTCCAGTATTCATTTAGAGAAAGGAAAAGGGAAAAAGAAAGGGAAAGGGAAAAAAGGAAGAGCCTTATTTACCCCGTACTAAAATCACTTTTCTCTTTACGCTATCATCTAAGAAATATAAGAATCTTTCCTAACTTTTATTCCTTTAAATAAAATACTAATAGAAATATGTGAGATTCTAAGAGGACATCATATTGTTAATCTTAAATACCCTTCTTAAAAGAAGTATGTGTCATGAAAATGCATAAGCACTATACTGCCTTATGTTTGAGGCCTAACGGTGCTCTACAGAAGACAGTCTATGAATGGAAGTAATGAAAAAGCCTTGTTCATTTTGTTGTACAAAGTCTCAAAACTTTCTCTTTTGTATTAGATCAAATACTAGACTGATTACTTTTACCTCCTGCCCTGATATACTGCAAATATATTTTTATGATACTAATACTTAAGGTGAGCAAAACGGTTGAGAGTTCCTGTTCCCTCTCTCCAGCGAATGATAGATTTCTACTAAAGCAGAAGATTGATTTGGTTAGGGGTAGGTAAGATCAGATAATGATCTTAGTGATGCAGTGATGCATAGTGATGCAGTTTGGGATGTTTTGTTTTTATCATGGCTTATATTTCTAAGGTCTATGCAATGTAAATGATACAAGCTTCCTTCAGGCTAATGTTCAGCTCCTAAAAAAAAAAAAAAAAAAAAAAAAAAATCAGCTCCAACAGGAATCAGGAAGGAAAAAAACAGTTTTAATATATTGTCTTCCAAGACTTGGTGATGAGTGTGTTGAGGTCAGGGCAAGTGTGAGATTTTTTTTGCTATTTCAGAGATGCTCTGAGGATACATCCTTCAGTCTGCACTGGACTGCTTCAGGAGCTCTATATGAACTCTTGTAGCATCTGGTGCTAATGTTCTAGTTAAGCAGAAAGGTATGCTAATAGCACATATTTACAAAGTGTTTTACATTCTTAAAAAAGCTTTTTAGATACGAATGTACTCAACATAAAAGCAGTATTGTACATGTAATATTCTCTAATTTATAAACGAGTGAATGAACAGAAGTTAAGATTCTGACTTGTGCTACTAATTCACTTCAGAAGTTAGAGAAAAGTCAGCAGCAGTGGAGAGAAAACTCAGAGATACAGAGAAATATCTCTGGTACTGTGGTGGTCTTCTCATTATCCTTTTGGATTTGTACCTTAAGTACTCATCGTTTATGATTTCAGAGCTGAAGTTACTGGACCTTGTCTAAGCATAGGATTTTGAGGAAAGTAGCAACCTTGTCAGCTTTAAATTATAGCAAATAAGTGAAAGATGTCCCCAGCTGTAACAGCAGAGCCTGTAGGAGTGTATCCCTATATCCTACTCACATACGTGAGAAAAAAAACTTCAAACATTTCACAGACTGTGCTTTTATGAAGATGTTTAAAAATTTTGTATGATACAAAAGAGAGCACCCAAGACTTATGTTTAGGCTCCAAATATACAGTGTATGTTAGTTTTGCAAACGAGATAAAAATAGAAAAACATGAACTATTCTCAGAAAACTTCAGAGTAAATCAAGAAATATCATAGTAACAAGTACACAATTAACCTGTTCCAAAAACTCCAATAATCTGTGGGAGTAAAAAATGGTATGCCTGGAATTGCTGCCAATGACTATGTTGCTTTTTTTCTGTTCATGTATAAATTACATACAAACGCATATATAGTTAATATATATGTAGTTAATATTTGAGTAAAAGGGATGGAGTGTGTATGTGAACATAATTGCAATACTTCATTATTTTTGAGTCTCAGCTATATAAATATGTTAAAGTAAAAAGAAAAAAAATATACAGCCACAAATGTACTTTTTTTCTTTTGCCTAACATCCTCACATTTTTTTGCTATAAAAAAATTTCTGATTATATACATGCAATGGGAGTTACTTTTATAGGGAAACAATAAAATCTGGTTTAACTTTGGAGAGCATAATTATTGCAATATCTATCGTTTCGATTTTAAATTCTCCTGTAAAACCACATTATAAAGTCTGAAAGCTGAGTTGAACTTTCAAATAAACACATTTTGGAACAGATCTTGAAATTCTATAATCCAGTGAGGTTCTTATTGTAAGTTTTAACTGTGTTATCTCCTGACTCTACAGCAGTCAGGGTATCCAAACCTTGGCAAAAGTGACAGTATCAGTCCCTAGGTAAAAAGGGACTACATAGCAAATGGATGTATTAAGAAAGATAATGAAATTTCTAATTAGAGATTAAAAAAAATCATAGAATAAAATGGCCTGGGTTGAAAAGGGCCACAATAATTGTTTAGTTTCAACCCTCCTGCTATGTGCAGGTCACCAACCAGCAACCCAGGCTGCCCAGAGCCACATCCAGCCTGGCCTTGAATGCCTGCAGGGATGGGGCATCCACACCAACCTCCTTGGGCAACCTGTTCCAGTGCCTCACCACTCTCTGTGTGAAAGACTTCCTCCTCATATCCAACCTAAACCTCCCCTGTCTCAGTTTAAACCAACCCCCTTGTCCTATCACCATCCACCCCCACAAACAGCCGT